GATCTTTTCTAGCATGAGGGATGCAGAGCTTGCCCAAGCTCTAATGCTTGGAGAAAGAGATTTTTCTCTCTGGCTTCTTTAGAACTCAGGGCCAGGTTCTAGAGAGTTAAGTGCTCGGAGACAATGCAGCCCTGTTTAGGGAAAACTTCCTATGAGCAGGGCACTGTGCTAAGCATTTCAGAGACATCATTTCCAGCGAACACATACAGCAGCTCTAAGAGGGGGAGCATCATGATAAAATGGCTTGTGGAGGCTGAGGGAGCAAGGGTTTTGATCTCTGTGGTTCAGTCTCAATGTCAAGTGTCCTATCTTCCTGTCAATGTACTCAGGGAAAGGGAACCAGGGGTAGGAGAGCATCTTTTAGTGTATCAAAGGAACACTGGAGTTAACTGAAAGAGCTCCCAAAGCTGGAACAATTGGAGCAAGAAAATAAAGTAGCATTGGATTATAACCCAAAGGATAAAATAAGTATGAATTCCTACTGATATAAATGATTGAATACAAAAATAAATAGGAAAGAGCTAGACAAATCTTCTGTGCAGAAGAATTCCAAATAACTTATGTAGATACTCCACCCTCAAGGAGGTGGTGCATAACTGCATGTCCCTTAAGTATGGGCTCGACATAGTAACTTCCTTGCAAAGGGTGACATTGGGAAAGGGGAGAACTTCTCATGGAGAAACTTGACAAGCATGACATTAGCCACGTGATCAAGGTCAACATCAACAGCGGTAAGTTCCTTTCAGATGATGAAAGTATATCCTAGGGCCTCCGGTAGTCCTGGTACCAAAGTCCAACCCAAGTGCATTTGTGACCACCATCCTTCCAAGCATTTCAGATCCCCTCTGGCTTCTTCTCTCAGCATCTCCCTGCCTCTCCACAGCCCTGCTGCTCATCCAACTCCCTGAGTGCACCACACCTGCCACATTCTTAACCCTATCTGGGGTTCCCCACCCCATTCCTACCCCTCCAACAAGGTCCAGACCCAGGCCCATCTATGAGGGAGCCTCACTTGGCCCCCAGACCACAGGGCTATCTGAGTTCCTCAATGCTGTCTGTCTGTATCTCATCAGTTACCCTGTGCAGTTTAGGCTCTTGCAGAGTTTAAAGTGGGAGCTCCTGCGAGGAGACAGGACAGGACAAGGTCATCCCACATCCCTGCTTTCCCAGGGCTGTGGGTCCTGGCAGGGGTTGGGGGGGTACTGTGGCAGCTGCACGTGTTCTTGATCGAGAGTCACTTGTGCTCCTGGGAGCTTCGCATGGGCAGAGGCTGGGGTCAGAGGGCTGAGGTGTTTGATTAGTGGAGTTTGGCTTTGGGACTTCCCTCTTACCCCTGGGCTTATGTGGACTCACCTCCCTCCCTCCCTTGTTGGGCCCCCTTCCCTCCCTCTCTCATCAGGTGCCTGTGAGCTGCTGACTTGTCCCTGCCAGGCAGGAGCCCCCCAAGCTGCTAGTCCTCTCTCCTCTTGGTAGGCCAGCGCATCCTTTGCATTCATAGATGAATTCCCTCCTGTAACTCTTGTGAATCAGAATTTTCCCGACTTTCCCAGAGGGAAAAGTGAAGCGCCCGA